GTGAGAAGAAGAGACCTCTCTGTGTTTAACTTTGGGTAACATTTTTACTAGAATTAGCATATTATTTTACAATATTTCATATACTATAAAAATATAATATATATAAATAAAATATATCTATATTATATAAATAAAATATAATATCTATATTTATATAAAATACCTATAATATCTATATAAAATATAATATCTATATAAAACTGGATCTATAGCTACGTAGTTGTGACACACCCTGAGTGTTATACACAAACATGCTCCTTCTGTCTACACACCACACGTGAAGCACAACACGGCGCACCTGACGCAGACTTGGGTAAAGAACACTGCGCTTGACCTGATCCCCCTATAATGTGCTTTAACTATCTTGGTCCTCAGCCCCAGCCACTGGCGGCAGGCACCCAGCCCTCACGCTGTAGGGACTGGACGAGACTTAGTAGACGGGGCTCTCGAGTGCGCAAGGGTGCTCTTCCAGGGAGCTGTTGAGACTCTCCAGCTATTTACTTCCCAGGGTCTTCCTGGAAACTCACCACACCTGCAAACCCCCAGGCTGCACCCCAAACCCACCGAGTCAGAAACTCTGCTTGTACAAGTTGCTCGGAGGGCTGCAGCCCCGCTGGGGTGGGAGGCCCCCTGGGCAGGAGGTTGCACAGGATACCAGGGGCTTGGGGGTCACTTGACCTCTGGGTGCCTCAGTGTCCCCCATGGGGAGAAGGCGGCGCTCACCCCAGGGGCTTGGGGCAAGGGCTCATTAGGGTGGCGCTGGGAAAGGACCTAAAGGACATGCCCCTGGGCTGCAGTGCTGTCCAGCAGGACCCTGGGCCGAGCCACTGGCCTGCAGCTGCCTGGTCATGGCCATCTTCGTGCTTGTTACTAGCATTGCTGCTGTTGCTGTACTATTGCTAATAACAGCATCTGGGCGTGTTGCCTCACCATGGTGGTGGCCGCTCCTCTGTGCCTCCGCGGAGCCCTCTGGCCGGTGCTGACTCTGCCCTCCCCCCCCAGCGGCCTGTGGCCCCTCCCGCAGGGGCCGTCTTTGACTGAACATCCTCACACCTGCGGGTCCCGTGCCAGCCTCCTCTCCGAGTGCCCCGTCCTGGCTCACGCCCAGGCGCGGGGCCTCCAGTCACCAAGGGCCTTTCCAGGGTGACTGACGGGCAGCTCCCTCTCACAAATGCCTGGGTCTTCTTTCTCCGTTCCAACCAATGCCACACAGCACAACCAGGGGCCTCCCGTACCTTTGCTGCATGGGCTGGGGTGGGGAGCCATGGCGAGCCCTCTGGTCAGTGCCCGAAGGTCCCAGCTCCTGCGCAGATTGCTGGGCGCCCTCCAGTGAGGGCCGAGAAAGCCCGGCGCCTCGCCCAGGGGCAAACAAACCATGGCAGAGCCACGGGGCCGCTGATGGGCAGGCGCAGGGGCGGAGAAGGAGCAGACAGACACAACCGACGGCGGCATCTGTCCTTCTGGCGTCTGTTGCTCGTCCCAGCCGCGCCTGGGAGACTACTGCTATCGTCCCTGAATGTGCACGGAGTTAATCCAGGCGGGTGCAGAATCCCTAACGAAGGCGGGGCCCCGAAACTGTGTGCAGTAAGCTCGCCCACAGGGACACTTCCCCGCGGGGGCCGCGGTCAGGAGCCCGCACGAGGGCAGCCGCGCAGGCGAGGCGGCGGGTGTGAACGCAGCAACCGAGTCCTAGACGCAAACATTTGCAGGAGACCCCGGATCGCCCCAGAGCGATGACGAAGGTCCCTTGCCAAGCACGCGCGCGCTGGGGGCATCTATGGGCGCTGCCCCAGCTGCCACTGGCCTCCGCCCCGACGGCGCGAGGCGTGAGCGGGGAGCGCGCGTGCACAACTCAGCTCTCCTGAGGCTGCGGCGCCAGCGCCTCTTGAATCCAACACTGTGACGCGAAACTCTGCAGGCGGAAGGGGGCTCACGGAGCCCAGACAGGTCGGGGGGCAACCGGGGCCGTGCCTCGCTGTCTCGCCAGGAGCCCGCGGAGCCCCCCCCCCCCAACACCCCCCAGCCTCCCAGGTCTGTCTCCTCGTTTGAAAAGTGCGAGGCAGACGCGACAGGCTTGAGCATCTTTTCTACTCCGGTGTCTGTGACTCAACAGTCACAGATGCTTTTCCACAGGCGGTAAAAATATGCTAGACTCTTCCCTTCCAATTCTCACTGTTTACTTCCTCTGCACTTCCCCTTCCTGCCTCCCTGTGTGCCGGCCAGTGTGATAGTGGGCCTCAAGGGGGAGTTAACCCGCTCTTTCCAGGGTGGCCGCCAGCGAGCTCCCTCCAGGGGCGGGGTCCTGGCTGGGGCTGAGGTTGGGGCGGCCGGAATGCTCCCCGTGGCCCTGAGTCTGGGCTCTGTTCTGGGCACCGGGCCAGCTTGCCAGGCGGTGGAAGGTGACTGCGGGGGCCTGGGCCTTGGGGGACGGTTCAGGTTCAGTTTCCCTGGGTCGGCTTCTTGGTAAACACCTGCGAACCCACGTGTCCGTCTTTCTTGCAGGCAGCGGCAGGATCCCATGGTAGCCAGGTGGGTGAAGGGGTGCAGCGGCCTTGAGGAGGACGCCTCTGACCTGCTGGGCGCGTGACCAGGTACGACACAGCCCTGAGTGGGAGCCTGGGGTGTGCGCAGGGGGGAGGAAGCGGTTACCCTGGGGGCGCCGCAGCCCCCAGGTGCTGGATTCGAGACGCCGCAAGGTCATGTTCCCGCGCCCTCCGCTAGGAGGCGCTGCGGGCGGCGGTGACTCCTACCCGGAGGTGCCGGAGCAGGGCAGGGGCTTCTGCAGCAAGAAGAAAAAAGATAGAGCTCATCCCACGCCTGGCCCGCCGCCCCTAGAGAGGGAGGTGAAAACAGAAGCTCGTGGCACCGCTTGCCCAGAAGCCGGGCCAAGGCTCCTGGACCTGGCGAGGGCTGCGCGGCAGCTTCGCTATGCCCGCAGGACACTTGCAGAGCCTGTTTTCGTTTCTGTGGGCGAATGGCATGCGCCCTCCCCAGCAGCGGCTCGCTTCTCTCCAGCGCGTGCATTCGCTTTCCCCGTGCGGCACGGCGGGCCTGGCGGGCTCCCGCTTGCCCCGGCCGGGCCGGGCAGCCCGCGTGGCACTGGGGCCCGGCGGCCTTGACGGCTTCCTCTTGTTCCCGAGAAGCTCCTGCACATCGCTTCTGTCCTGGACTTTTCTCCTAAACAAGCCCCAAAGTAAGTGAATAGACTTCCAGGAGTGAAATCAATTTTGAAGAGCATATGGCCCTTCTTTGCCACCAAAATGGAAAGTCGCTTTCCTTTCCAAGAAAAAAAAAAAAATCCCTTCAAGGAGAGCTCAGTCAGTGACACTCCTAAATAACGCAACAGGGAAATTCAAAGCCCAGGGAGCCTGCCTCGCGCAACAAGTGTTAGCCTCTGAGGGATACGGTTTCAGTTTCCTTGAAGTGATTCGCCCAGATGATTACTTGGAAAACTTGGAGCGACATGATGCTGCTCTAGTTCACGCGCAGATTATTGCTTGAGTCACAGAGCGCCGTATCCAGTTCCCTCGCAATGGGGATTTTTGTCTTTATTCTGAAAACAAAGAGAGGTGGGTAGCACCAGCCAGGTGGCGGGCGACACGCCCGGGGCCACCCGAGCTCACGTGCCTCTCCGAGGGCTGCAAGGCGGTTGCCCCAGTGGCCCGCGGCAGTGTCAGCGGGGGGTGGGGAGGCCTGCACCCGCGCTCCAGCTGCGCCCCCAGCCGCCTGGCCAGGAGTCCAGCCCTTCCTCTAGGTAAGGTCTGCTCTGCTCCATTGTTGTGCCTGTCCGTCTTTACTTTTTCATTCGCTTTTAAAATGAATTCCTCACGCAGGTCCCACTTAGTTCCCAGGAAGCAAGGCGGAATGTCTGTGCACCCCCAGGCTTGCATGTCCTCCTGGAAAGCGACCAGCCTGCTGACCAAGCCCTCAGGGGTCCAGGCGTTCGCTGAGTTTTGCTCGTGGAGCCTTGTTAGTGTGGCTCTGCACAGCAGCAACTCTGCCCGCTCTGGCTGCTGGAACATTCTTTCCCAAAGTGCTGAAGACTAGGAGGGTCCTCCCTGGCGCCACAGTCCTTCACTGGACGAGGGCTAAGATGAACGGCCACCACAGAGAAGCTCTTACAAAGGGTATTTGTATTTATTTGGCTTATGTCTACGGAAGTAACACTACGTAAGTTAGGGGTGCAGGCTCACCTCCATACAGACAGGTGCTTACACCACCTTACCATGAAGCCCCGCAGTCCTCACCCGAGTCCACTGGGCCCTCTGTCCTCTGCTCCCCACCCCAGCTCCAGTGTGGGCGGCAGCCTGGGGCCTGCAGCTATATCTTCAGGACTCATTCGGGTTTGTTTCTGTCCGTTCCAAAAGGGACCTTAAAAAAAGTGCTTTCCACTACTTTTTATAGTACTATCTAACTTTTTAAAACATTGTATTAATATCTTCCGGTGCGCTATCAAGAGCGGCCTTATGTGATTTTCGTTGCATCATTTCAGTTTTATCTGAGTTTAGTTACCCTGAATTCCCTCTGGCTGCACAGCCATGAGAGCTCTCCCTAGCTCTCTGCGGGTACATGCTTTCATGTGTCCTTTGTGTTATCACCCACAGAAGACTGACTCTTTGTTTTTTCACTGAGGGGCTCTTTCTTGCCACCTTATAGCCAGGGTCTCACTTAATCATCATCCAGATCCCCTAAAAGTAGATTTTACTCCCGTTTCACAGCGCAGATTAGGAAACTGAGGTCCAGACATGTTAATGGCTTAGTCAGGTCCCACGGCAGCAAACCGGTGTCAGCATTTAACCCAGGTTTGCCTGTCTGCAAAGCTGATGCCCCTCGGGGCCCCCTCTGCCCCCTGGCCTACAGGAACCTCCCTTCCCTTGGATACATGCGTAGATTCACTCTTATTTCATGACTGTCCCACTTGGGGTTTCCGGAAGTTCCTTCCCATGGCCGTAACGGACCCTGCTCCTGTCACACCCCTAGGTGGCACCAGAGCCACGACCATGGACGCCATTCACATTGGTGTGTCCGGCGCACCCCTGGTCAAGCGCACTGCCAGCGCCGGCCTGAAGACCAGCAGGCCCCGGGTCATGTCCAAGAGTGGACACAGCAATGTGCGGATCGACAAGGTGGATGGCATCTACCTACTCTACCTTCAGGACTTGTGGACCACTGTCATCGACATGAAGTGGCGGTACAAGCTGACCCTGTTTGCGGCCACGTTCGTGATGACCTGGTTCCTTTTCGGAGTCATCTACTATGCCATCGCGTTCATCCACGGCGACTTAGAGCCCAACAAGCGGGTTTCAAACCACACCCCCTGCATCATGAAGGTGGACTCCCTCACGGGGGCGTTCCTCTTTTCCTTGGAGTCCCAGACCACCATTGGCTACGGAGTCCGCTCCATCACCGAGGAATGCCCTCATGCCATCTTCCTGCTGGTGGCCCAGTTGGTCATCACCACCTTGATCGAGATCTTCATCACAGGCACCTTTCTGGCTAAAATCGCCAGGCCCAAGAAGCGGGCGGAGACCATCAAGTTCAGCCACTGTGCGGTCATCACCAAGCAGAATGGGAAGCTGTGCCTGGTGATCCAGGTGGCCAACATGAGGAAGAGTCTCCTGATCCAGTGCCAGCTCTCCGGCAAGCTCCTGCAGACTCACGTCACCAAGGAGGGGGAGCGGATCCTCCTGAACCAAGCCACGGTCAAGTTCCACGTGGACTCCTCCTCCGAGAGCCCATTCCTCATCTTGCCCATGACGTTCTACCACGTGCTGGATGAGACGAGCCCCCTGAGGGACCTCACCCCCCAAAACCTAAAGGAGAAGGAGTTTGAGCTGGTGGTGCTCCTCAACGCCACCGTGGAGTCCACCAGCGCCGTCTGCCAGAGCCGCACCTCCTACACACCTGAGGAGATCCACTGGGGCTTCGAGTTCGTGCCTGTGGTTTCTCTCTCCAAAAATGGAAAGTACGTGGCTGACTTCAGTCAGTTTGAGCAGATCCGGAAGAGCCCCGATTGCACCTTTTACTGTGCGGACGCTGAGAAGCAGAAGCTGGAGGAGAAGTACAGACAGGAGGACCAGCGGGAGAGAGAACTGAGAACACTCTTGCTGCAGCAGAGCAACGTGTGATGGGCGTGGGGTCCCTGGGCTCCGCGGCAAGCCGGCTCCACCTCTGTGCTCCCTCCGCAGGCGAGGTCGCTGTGAAAACGAAAGTGTACGAGGCACCCTACAAACGACACGGTGTCCCCGTCCATCTTTTCCTTTGGTCTTGTAACTAAGTGGACATGTCCACCTTCGAGAGATTTCTTTTGAAATGCTTTGTTTGACCTGAAATCTCAAAATTCAAATCTTCCAAAATGGGGCTACATTTCAAAGAACTTGGTGTGGGGCAGCTGGAATCCTCTCCTGTTGGATGGATGGACCTTTAGCAAATTTGACATGGAAAGGAAATGCATTTGTATGCAAGGATATGAGCTATAAAGTATTTATTCAAGTATCAAAGACATGTCATTGTTTGAACACGTTCTTTTTCAAGCAGAGAAAATGTTAAATTCAATGGAGTCTCCTGGCAATACAGTAAAAGGGTTAAGGAGACTCTATAGTCATGAAATTGGGCAATTCCACTGTTAGCTTCTTCGGTGGAATGAAATGGACCACATCAGGCATGAGCCATCGCGAAGACATGTGGGTGGAGCCGGTCCTGTCACTCACTGTTGCTGCTGGAATGTGCAAGGCTCTTTCTGTTCCAAATGGAGCTCCCAGACCAGCACCGTCAGCATCGTCCGGGAGTTTGCTCGGAGAGCAGACCCTCCCTCAAGCGGCCTGGACTTACAGAACCAGCGCCTGTGTCTTTACTCCCAGAGGTGGTGAGGTCTCCGCCCTGGACACCATCTTCTGCTGCCTCTGTGGCTCTGTGGCCACCTGGCCTGCAGACCTGCCCTGCGTTGACATTTGGCTAGCGTGGGCCAGTGTTCCTTCCAGCCACCCCATTTCCTATCAGTTAAACTGCCTTGTCCACAAAGGAACCGCCACTGTCATTCCAGGAGCAAAATAACACTTGTAAGGAAATGGCTGACCCTCTCAGCTAAGCCCATGCTGTCGCTCAGCTTGAGCACGAAAGAAAAATTAAGCTGCACAGAACCCAGGAAATTTGCTTAGATGCTGAAGCTTTCCTGCATTTCTTTGGAAGCAGAGAAAACATAGACTAAGATTGGCGATATGTACAAAAGGTGACTTCTCATTTAAACCAGGTTAGATTTATGTATTAACTCAAGAAGAATGTAATGGTAAGTGCACAGGTGTGCATACACAGACACACAAGCACACGTGTGTGTTCACAGACACATATGCCTACATAGACACCACACACAACATGCAAGCCATCACATACACACACGCGTGCGCAGATACCCGACACACAGCCTGCATGTACACAAGCACACAGTGTGTGCACAGACATGCAGTGACACGCATGCACACAGAGACACCTAGTGGAATATGTGTGTGCTCACTGTGGTACACATGAACACACATGTGCGCACAGGAGAGGAGTGTTGGCTCTTCGAGCACACCTGTGGAAGTTCAACAAAAAGCATTCATGAGACACCTAGTGGAATATGTGTGTGCACACTTGTGCACACACTGTGGTACACATGAACACACACGTGCGCACAGGAGAGGAGTCTTGGCTCTTCGAGCACACCTGTGGAAGTTCAACAAAAAACATTCATGATGGAGAAGAGTCAGCGGTCGGTCCGCTCGCTTTTATTTTCTTCTCTAAGAAGGAGATCTGGGAGCCGAGCAATGGGACACGTGAGCGGGATGTAGGCTGAGCGAAGCGGTGAGTGGATGACAGCTAATCTGCTCCTACCTTGATGTCACCACATGGTCAGATGTCCTGCCACTGCATGGGCAAACTGACGGGGAACTGGACACCCAATGCTGGGGTAACGGGAACAGTGGGTGATGTTATATGGATTTTTAAAGAACCATCTCAATGCATAAGAGGAAGGATTTTGCCTTTAATTTTTGTCTTGAATACAATGTTTTCTTCTTTTTCTGTTGATAATTTTATGGCAGGCTGTTTTAGAACTTTGTGCTCTTTTTAAAAGAGTACATTAGGGTAGTTAGGTTTTAGCTATTTTAGTTCTTAGACAGATTTTTTCATCTTGTGGTATAATCTACAGGAAAATAATGCCACAGACGGGTTTACAGATTTCTGTTGCACTATTCAGTTCTTTCCACAGTATTCACATCAACGTTAATGTGAATGTGATCAGATTAGACGTTGGGCACACTTATGCCATGTGGTAGACAATGAATTAGCATGAGATTGAGAAATCTTTAATATATTCATTTAGGATATCAACTTCAGTCAAATTTGGAAAACTTGATTACCTGATTTTTGCACTACGCACAGACCAAATAAGCAATGCCTTGAAAGCCAGTATTTGCGTGAGTCCATAAACATGATTATCATATAATATTCAATACAGCTCTGAGTTACAGCTGGCCTGAAACTAGCATTTTTACAGACTTGCCTAATTATTTCCTACTTTGTCCAAAATACTCTCATGCTCACAAGCTAACAGAAGATGCAGAAAGTGAATATTTGTGACTTTCTGATTGAATGGACTCAGCTCAACACCCCACTATGAAGTCATCAGACTATAGTGTTTTTGACCTTATAAGGCTTCTGCATTTCGAAACATTTCTAATATTTCGGGTCTTCTGTGTAAGGCCTTCCAAAAATGGCATGTTCCATTTGAGAAACCACAATGTAAACAGCAAGTCTGTGTAACCTGCAAGCCGTGTCTTCTTTCCGTAATGAAATATGTTTTACTTACTTGGTACCTCCAGGCAGCCAGGAAAGGCTCAGTCGCTGACCTCATGGTGATCCTCCTTTGGGGAGAAGGTGGGCACAGGCTCCCCTTGCCTCTCGAGAGTAGAGACTCAAGAAACTGAAACTAGCTAGTTAAGAATGAAACATGCCAGCCGCTGGGGGACCAGATATTTAGAGGTGTTTAAACAACTATTTGTTTGGGTTTTCTTCAAATTAAATACTCGATTTTAATTGAATCTCATTTTGATATCATCAAAATGTAAATGAGATCAATAAAAATGTGACATTCTCTTCCATTACACTTTTTCCCTTGAGTGGGGCCTCCAGACTCAATCATCTGGAGAAAGAGAGAGAGAGAAGAAAAACAAAGCAAGCAGCAGGCCTTCTCACTGTGGCTCAGTCAAGGTGCACCTGGCCTTGCTCCTATATTCTGTTCTCCTGTCAAAGGGTCAGACATTTCACCGCATGGCCTAACAAAGACTTCCAGGCCCTGGAGCTTGATTTTCCTTCCTGCTAGATGTTTCTTTACCTCTTAAATATTTGGAATAACTAGTTTTGAATGAAAATTATTTTATTATAGCTTTCTGAGATAGAATTCTTTTAATGAATTACAGGCTCGCCTAATTTCTTTTAGGCAATTTCTGAAATGCTAATAACATTTCAAGTCTTGATATTCAAGTTCTGTGGGATGTACATTAACACCAACATTTGACTCCAGAGAGGTCCAAGATGCATTCTGCTTTCTTTCCCAGGAAGGCTTTCACCTGAAGTCTGACACTTTAACATTTCACTTCTAATTGGTCAGCTACATACACTTTACCCTGTGTGCATTTCGGTTTATCAGAACGACCTGCCCACCAGCCCTTGGAGCTATGGGCAGTGGTGGTGAATGTTTCTACTCTCAGAGGGAACGCGATATCCGAGCAGAAGTGTCCTCCAGAAAGAGAATTTGCAATGAAATTGTGGGTTAGAATATGGTGCGATTCAAGGAAAAAGAGTTACTTAAATTCTTGACGCATTGGTATTTATTAGTAAGCTCTGCTTTTCCTGTTGCGTCATTTTGACTTTCTTTGAAAGAAATCTGAAACAAAGCCTTCTCAGGAGATTAAGAAAGGCAGTGAGAAATGCATACAAAAATACAAGCTCATTGTTGATGGACAAGACTTTTATGTAAAGGGACTTCCCCCAGTGGAAAAGTACTTCTATGTAGGGGAAAAATTGGTTATTTGGTCTCACATTACAACAGACTGTCATTATGTCTGGCTTCCCAAAGGAGGAGCAATGTCCTAGCCTTCAAGAAATACTAATGGATTAAACGCAGCTTTCCCCCCAATGATTTTCTGATCAATGCTTAATCAGAAAGAATCACAAGGCAGAAATAAAGCTTCCTCCACTTGATTTCATCTTCATCCACTGTCAGTTTTTCCTGTGTCCTTGATCCTGGTAGTTTGATGTGTGTGTTTGCTTGTCTGATTATTCCTCATGCTTTCTGTTCTTTCAAGTCACAGAATTTGGCGGCTTGAAGATTACCAATGCAAATAACTTGTGGGCATTTAGACATCCAATGAATGGAAAGAGAAATTTTTATTTTTGAATTGACATGTCGATAGGATGTAAAAGTGGAATATCAAGAAAAGGCTGTTTATTCGAGCTGATAGTTAATTCCTAGTAAATTGCAAGAATCAATTGTAGAGGTCAGAGGATCTAATTGATCCATGAGTATAAAGGCCAAACGTGTCGTTTATGTCATATGTGTGGAGAGAGGCATATGAATTCCATGGAGATTTTCCAATAAATTCAAATTTGTTTCACTAAGTTCCAAAATTGCACAGGTATTAGAAAAAAAGCTTCAAATTTAATTGGATGGCCTCCAGATTTACTTGATAAATCAGAGAACCCAACAGAGAATATGCACATAATCCCAAATGATACTCATCTCCAGAAAAGCAAAAATGCAAAAATGTTCTTTCACGTAGAAGCTATGGTATTAGGCCAGGAGTAGAGACAGGAGATATTCTGGAGGGATGTCTGCCTGGCGTGGCCAATGAGTAAACTCCCGCTGGGCATGGGGGATCGTTCCCGCTGGGCACGGGGCACTGGGCACGTTCCATAAGAGTGGAGAAACAGGCTTGTTGAGCTCTGTGAGGGAAGAAGGCATTTTCTGGGGTCCAGTCCTAGAAGGATAGGCCCAACAGTATTCCCCACATAAGTAGACAGGAGCTAGAGAATCAGGCTGATGATTTCAGGGCTCCTCCAGCACTGGGTGGCAAAACCCAAGATAAGTCAA